CTTTGAAATGTATTCTCCTTTTATAAAAAGAGTGGCAGGAAATGGTAGTTAACAATAATGAATAATATCTCATTTCACAAAATTGCCAAGTTTTTAAATGTTTCCCCATTTTTATTTAAACATCAGTGATCTATAAGATTAAATCTAGAAATCACTGCTATGTGCTATTATACTACATGTTAGTTTCATTTTTTTAAACAATTAGAGAAAGAGTGAATAGAAACTTGAAACATAAAAAATGTTAAGGATAACAGGTGAAGGTGAAAAGTCTTTAGAAGAACATATTAATTGAGAAATACAGTTAGCAATATCTTAGCTATTTTTAGTTTAGTAAAGTCAATTACTCACAAAGCTTTTGAAGTACTTAGAGATTACACCTATCTACCTATAATCTTCAGTCAAGATTCATTTAATTATGTCCCTGCATACTTATTTTAGACATTTAGTGCATTCAATGGATTTGGAAGTAAAAGGGTTTCAGGGATGCTCTTGTGTAGACCAAAGAATGTGTCCTGAATTAGCACTATTCTGGATTCCTCAGGGAAAAGTTCAAAGGTTAGTTGGATTTTGGAAGGTGATTCCAGGAGGTGTATAAAATGTATGCATAAAAAGGGAGTCCAAAAATAAAGTATGCATGGACTGGAGTCCTAATCACCTCTCCCCAACCCTTCTCCCAGCTCCCCCCATCTTCCCACCCCACCATTTCCCTTACCTTACTTTCCCACTTCCCTTTCCCTGAAACCATTCTACCTCCTTTTTCTTTTCATTCTTCCTTAAGATACTATCATATAAAGGAGCTAAAGCACAGAAAGGACAATACATAAATGTTGTTTGTCAGAGGAAAATAATATGCAAAAAAGAAACCATCTAGAGATAATGAAGGGGGAAACTTTTGATAATGAATAAGAAAATGCCTGTAAAATACAGAACAATAGGGTATAAAGACAAACTAATAAAAAAATAAAAATACTTTTATTCTTTAGTCTTTCAAAAGAATGGATATTTGGAACTTACTATTTTAAGTTTAACTATAAATAAGTTCAAATGTTCACGAGAGCTCCAGATAATTTCCTTTAAAATTTTTTTTATAATATCAGAGATCAGATTATTCTTTTAATTTCTCCCTGGTGTTTATAATTTTTACAAATCTCACTTCATTATTATGCCACATACTATAATCTCTGCAGAGATATTTACTTTTTCAACGTATTTCCATAAATGTTATTTTCCCAAAATGTCTTCCCATTTAGGAAATGTGCTCTGTAGGATTTTAATATGAGGTCAGCAAATGCAGTGGCAATATTAGGGTTAGAAGTAAAAGCTTCAGCTGGGTGCTGGTGGCTCGTGCATGTAACTCTAACTACTCAGGAGGCAGAAATCAGGAGGATCGATAGTGTTTCAAATGAAGTCACCTGGGGCCAATAGTTTGTGAGAGTCTATCTAGGGGAAAAAAAAAAAAGTAAAAGCTTCCTTTCAAAATGGTTTATTCAATGAAATCTTCTGACACTATTTGGATACACATGGAAGCCTGTTTGTATAGCTGAGGATGTACTAAGGAAGATAATTTGAGCGTCTCAAACACAGCTGTAAGCTATCACTTCTCACTTAGTCCTCCTATCAGAACTGTTCATGTATTTACTCTGAATCCCTTGAGGTTCTCTAAAATTATAGCTTTTTTACTGAGTCAGAATTACTTTTCCGTGTACTCAAAGTATTGAAATGTTTTGGAATGAATTACATTTAGAGTCAACAATGAAACTAGAATAACCAGACTTTATATACTTAAATTAAATTTTAAATTTCTTTGTATATACAAGTCTTTGCCCAGTACTTTTTATTATTTAGTCTTCATTAAATATTGTATTTGGATAGCTCAAGTAACTTTTATAAAATCACAGAAATAATGGTTTATTTTACTAAAAATAAAAGCTATTTTGAGTTTTTTTTGTACATTGTTCTGCTTTCAACACCTCCCTATTTTGTATTATCTGTGAATTTAATTAAGACTTTTTACTTCCCTTTGTTAACTGATGCGACATGAGACCAAACTAACACCAGTTTTTGAAGAATTCTTGTAACAGCTCTCTCCAAGTATATTTCATTTTTAAAAAAATTGTTCTTTAGTTTTTGACTCATGAAACTTGCTTGGAAGAAAAGTAAAAGATGATACTAATGTAGAAACTGGGGGAGAAATTAGTAGGAAAAAAAAAACCCAGTATAGACTATAAATCAGAGGTCAGAAGAAGGTGAGTAGAAAAAAGAAAAAGGCAAAAGACAAAAACAGGGAAGTAGAAATAGCAAACCTTTTGGGAATAAAATAGGTCAGTAAAGATAGAAGTATACAAACAATAATAAAAAATCAAACCTGCCCAATACTACAAATAGGAATATATAAAATATTTGAAAATAATCAAATATGTGACAATCTTTTTTGGATGAAAAGGATAGTATCAATTTTAAGGTTAAACATAAACTAGGCAAGAAATCAATATTAGGTTGATTTACAAGTAGACATAGTACTTCCTTCTGACTAGCTTGATTTCCATAGATGTGTACTGATCTAATCCAGCACTTCTTTTTTCTTTTAAGGACGGAGATCCATACCAGGCAGTGTGTCAGGATGTCTAAAACTGGGTTAAGCATTAGGGTAAGTAGACAGAGGTTGTGTTGTAATGAAGTTTTCTAGATATATGCACCTGAAAGTAATTAGAAAGCAATATAGCTCAATGTATAATAGGCCTTAGGCTGTACTAAATATTGACCATTAATTGCTGCAGAATTTTTTAAAAAGGAGGAGGTAATTCTGTGATTAGAGTAGTAAGCCTGATTTGGGTTCTCAGCCGATAATAATTGAGCACTTAGAGAAGATAAGTGATAACCAAGAGCTGCAGTTTAATGTCCTGCCATTCTAGAGCTGATGGTAGTAATGGAAGTGTGAATATATATATATATATATATATATATATATATATATATATATATATATATATATAGCACACAGCCTAGCAACCTAGCATCCACATCTCTTATCCACACACCTAGTGAACGATGCCTATTCTTTCAAAATCTTCTTAAGGCACTGCCTATCTCCTTCTTGATTAGTATACTACTATATACGGTGGCTCTCAAATTTAAGTGTGCATACAATCACTGGGAAGGCTCATTAAAACATAGATTGCTGCACAGTTTCTGATTCAAAAGGTCTGGGTGGGACCTGAGAATCTGTATTTCTTACAAGTGCCTAGTCCAAGTCCACTCTCCTGACTAATCCATCCTTACTCTCTCAGTTGGTATACTGCATAAAAGGCAAACATTACTGTTTAATCAAGTTTGATTTTTGCCAACTGACAAAGGTTGACACTGTTTAATCAAGTTTGATTTTTGCCAACTGACAAAGGAATACACAAACTTATAAAGGAAATGATTTACTTGACTTTGCTTTTGCTGTCTTCTTTAGTGACTTTCCCTCCTTTCTGTTTTAGCCCCTGGCCATCCTCATTGTGTTTCTATGTTGGTTTGGTCATCCTTAGCAGAGAAAATATTAAGATTAATACTCAGTGGTATTCAACAGGGAGTCCTTCATGGGAGAATTTAAAAGACCAGACTCTATAAATCTCAACCAGGAAACTACCAGTACTTTAATTTCAAACAATGGGAATGATTTCTCAATTTATATGGATGCATACACAAAATGTGCCATCTGTATTTGCCAATTCCACATCCACTTACTGAATTAACCTTGTGTGGAAAATATCTGGGAAAAAATTGCATCTGTAGTGAATATGTAAAGATTTTTTTAGTCATTAATCACTACACAGTACAGAATAACAAATATGCACATGACATTTATACTGTATTAGGTATAAATATTACAAATAATCTCGAGACGATTTAATGTATATGGAAGGAAAGAGTATATACAAATACTAAGCCATTTCATATAAGGGATTTGCTTGAGCTCATATTTTGGTACCCATAGCGGGCCTGGAACCAGTACCCTGGAGATACCAAGGGTCACTGTAATAGTTTTTGTTAGAACATAGACAAAAACAAAACAAAACAAAAAACAGACAAAACCCCCTAAATCCTCTCCTTGGCTGTATTAAGGGTGAGGTTTGAGCTTATTAATAATTTTGAGACTATGAAGTTTGGGACATCGTTGAGGTTTTTGATTTGAAGGTACTCTGTCCGCTGACACATGCGTCATGGCTCATGCCCTGTGTAGTCTTTTGATCACACAACAGGACAAAAGTGCGTGAATTTGTTTTCTGTGGCACCTCTCCTCTTCACAGTTAACGCTACCTAACAGACTGGCAATGGTACAAATAAATACGTGTGTGAGAAGGACAGCTGGTGAAGAGAAGAAAACAGATCTTAAGTGGAGAAATAGGACTTCACAACCACTATTCCTACCAAAAGTGTCCACTCTTCCCATATGGCTTCCATTTATCCATTTGGTTGAGTCCCAGGATCTAGTATGTAAAAACCATTTAGTGTGTAATAGTCATACGGTGACTTGTATCGTGTAACAAAAATGACAGAACAGTCACACTACTGCTTTTGCTATGGCTCCCCACTCCCTAGTTTCTGCGCCGCCGGCCAAGGCCGTTTTTCTATTCGTCAGGAAGTAGGACGAGCTTCGGGCACCGTCCTTTCCCTTTCCCTTCCTTCCTCTCCACCACCTCCGGTGCTCTGGCGCCCTTCCCTTCCCTTCCCTTCCCTTCCCTCGCGTCCGCTGCTCAGCAAACAAAGCCCAGCGAGGCGGGCGCGCGCCGCCGGCCGCTCCCACTGGAGAAGCGGCAGCTCCGCCACGCGCCCTTCGGAGTGGGCCATTCAGCGCGGGTACGCGCCGCGCGTCCCCGCCGCTTCCTTCCCTCCCTGCTCTTCCTTTTCCTCCCGCCAGCCTGGTCCCCGCCCCCTGACGGAAAGGCGGCTGCGCAGAAGCTGCCCTCACCCTCCTCCCTCGCCCTTCCTTCCCTCGGCCCCTCCTCCCCGGCCCCGCCTTCCTTTCTCTCGGGTTTCAGTGAGCGCTCCAGGTAGCGAGCCGTTCAGTCGATTTCTCCGCTACCCCGCCTCCCTCCTCCTCTCCCCACCCCTCCGGTCTCCAGCCTGGAGGAGGATGAGGCGGCCGCAGTGGCCCCAGCCCCAGCAGCGGCACCGGCGGTGGCTGCGGTGGGGGTGGCCGGAACTGGGGTGGTGAAGCAGTGGTGGCCGCGGCCGACGCCTCACCGCTTCCATCGGGCTTCTCTTCCTCCTTAGTGCAGCCAGGAAGTTTTCCGCTCTTGTGCGAGTGTGTGCGTGAGTGTGGGTGTGCGAGGTGAGGTTGGGGTGGCGTTTGTGCAGGCGTTGAGTCTTTTTGCCCACTTCGCTTCCCGTAAGCCAAGCAGCTCCGGAGCTTTGGGCTGTGGCCCGACGAGGGGGCGCGGCGGCGGGCTCTCTCCTTTTGTTGTTGTTTCCTCCGCCTGGGGAGCGAGAGAGGGAACGCGCCTGGGTGGGGCGGCTCGGAGCCCGGGCCTGGTGGCCCCCGGGGCTCCCGGGCGGGCAGGGAAGGCAGAGCAGAGCGGGCTTCAACATGATGGCGGCCGAGGCCGGCAGTGAGGACGGCCCGGTGACTGCCGGAGCTGGAGGCGGCGCGGCGGCAGGCTCCAGTGCTTATCCGGCCGTGTGTCGGGTGAAGATACCTGTGGCAGCCGCCCCTTATCCCGGGCTAGTGGAGGTCGGGGTGACCGGGACTGTGGGTGGCGGAACCGCTTTGGGGACGGGATTCCTTGGAGCGGGGTCCACACTGACAGGGGGAGGTGCTGCTGCCGGCGTGGCCGGGGCCGCCACGGGACCTGCCGGGGACATGGCTCTCGCCAAGGGGACCGTCTCGTCGTCTGCGGAGACTCTGGGACCTGGCGGCGGATTCCCCCCTTTGCCGCCACCCCCTCAGCTGCCTCCTTTGGGCGCGGGCCTGGGGGCCGTGGATGAAGGTGACTCTCTGGATGGACCAGAATACGAGGAGGAAGAGGTGGCCATACCGCTGACCGCTCCTCCAACTAACCAGTAAGTCAGGACTGCTGCTTTGGGATGGGGAAGCCTGCTCCAGGAAAGAAGTGGGACAGAAGGGAGTGGGACACACCGGGTTCTTTCGGCTGCGATTTCATCTGAAAAGTTTTAAAGCTTCAAGGTTTCCTGTGGAGGGATTTAATTTGATCAGTCATCTTCCCTACAGGCACGCTCCCTGGCGTCTTCGTACGTTTATTGCTCCTCTGGGAAGATGTAAAGTTTTTTAAGATGGGAAGCATGGGAAAATGTGTGTCCAGTGAGCACCGGATGTGGCTCTGCCCCTTCCAAGTTGAGGTGTTGTCCCAGGGTTCAGGCGAGTTTGCCGCTGTGGAGGCGGTCACAGTCCACCCTAATTGTGTCTGTCCCCTGGTGCAGCTAGGTGTCCAGTGGGAAACTTTAAATACATGGATTTAAAAGAGTGCTGTATTGATTTAGAAAACGCATTAGTCGGAATGCTTTTTTTTTTTTGCGTTGCAAATTCCAACGTCTGTCTACTGAAAGTACAGTGATTCGGGAGTCTTTGGATCACTTTCTGAGAAGTCGCAGAGAAAGCAACGTTGTGTGAGTTACAGGTGTGAGCGAACCGTGTCTATAACTAATCCATAGAACTCCTGCTTATTAGTATTCTCATAATACTTTCATATGGAGCCTTAGTAAGTAAAAGAAAATAGTGCTCTCTTTCAACTCTTTGTGGCCAATTCTGTGTCCTGTTTGAAAATTAGTTTAGATAGTTTACTGCAGCATATTCAGGACAAATGCATCCTTCCCGCCCCCAGACATTAGAATCTCCCCCTTGTTCTTTTTGTAAGTGAACCCAGTTATGTATTTATAAAGGCGGACCTTGATAAGAGAAAAATGTTGAGATGGGAAGTGGTAATAATAGGCAAAACTTCTTTTATAGATCTCTCACATTAGTCTTAACTCATTCCTAGAATTCCAACAACCTTGGTATTAGGAAAACAGATTTGACAGTCACTTTGGACAGTTGAAAAAAATTTTAGAGGATTTAGAAAGGATTTAAAACCTAATTAGGGAAAGATTCTGTAATACTTAATCCATTTTTTACTTAAGGGTGCATTTTCTATATTTAAGATGGAAAAGTAGTCGTTTATTCCATTGTGTAGAGCAGTTGTAGTCGAACTATTTGCTGGGGTTGGCTTCGAACCGTAGTCATCCTGATCTCTGCTTCTTGAGTGGCTAGGATTAGTGTTGATAGCCACCGGTGGGCTTCCTTCTATTATTTTTATTTTTGGAGGTATAAGAGTTTGAACTCAGGGCCTGTATTTCCTTGGCAGGTGCTGCACCACTTCAGCCATGCCCCTACCCCTTCCTTTTATATTACTGAACACAGAGTTTAACTTTTTATCTGATTTTATTTCAATTTATGTCACACATATGTATTGTAGACTTTTCTGGGAATATTCTAGAACTGTTAAAACTTCCAGTTTTACAGCACTTCTTGCACATCCTGAAATTTTTGAGAAAATCAGTAAATTACATATTAAATGTCAGCTACATACTTAGTATTGGGGTTACAATAAACAAAATCCAACTTTTACGTACTGAAAGAATATAGTCGTGTGCCATTTCATAACTGAACTGACTTAGGCATGTTTAGAGTAGGCGCAGGCATATTTAGGATGCTGTGCTTCTTAAATTGTTTCTAATAGACTTTATAAAGAACAGTTCAGGTTCATAGCAAAATTGAGTGGAAAGTGAAGTATTCCCATTAAATTTTTAGTAATAAAACATGATTAGGAAAAATTGTGTTTGTGAGAAATTCATTAAGTGAGATTTTCCTATATTTAGGAATAAAATTGAAAATTTATGATGAGAAAAAAATTCCTACTTTGCAGTGCTAGGGATTGAATCTGGGGTCTTATACATACCAGGCAAATGCTCTACCACTGCACTACATCCCCATTCCATTTTCTAGTATATTTTTAAAATTTGCCATTTAGAAATACGATCCCTCTTCCCTCCCCATCTCCCCAAAAAATCTTAGATCAACTGAGTCAATAGAGGCAATATGGTATAGTGTCTTAAGTGCAAATGAAGATAGACAGGATTTGGGCTGGAATCCTGACTTTACCACTTACTAGCTGTGTGATCTTAGTAAGGTTAGTTTTCCCATCTCTAAAATCAGAACAATAATGGTACCTCTCTCTGTGGTTATTCTTAATTAAGATTTAATGAGCACTCTGAACTACTCAGTACAGTGCCTGGCACCAGGCCTGCTTTCCTTTAATACTATTTGCATGGCATCTGTCTTAGATCTTACCCTGGACCTAATATTCAGGTGTCTTAGCCTATAACTTTAAGGAAAAGAAAATAAGAATTGTAAAACAGTACCTCTCTTTTCCTTAAAAATCATTTTTGAGTCAAATAACTGCTGAAGGTTAATGTTAGGACATATAGTTGTAGCATTCATTAGCTTTGTCACTGATTGCCTTATAACTGAGTGAGCCATTGTTTCTTGATAAAAACAGGGGTGAGAATTGCAAAGACTAGTTATGGATAGAGTGGTTCCTGACCAGAACTCACATGTTTTTACTATACTTGTATGAGTAGTGGAGGTGCTTCAGGGGTTATAGCAATGAGTACAATGCCCATGTTTTTAATGAGTCCCTCTTTCAGGGAAGATCTGTTAGAAGGCTCTAGTAGAAGGAAGTTAAATGAACCAGTAACTGTGATTCAGTGTAGATTAAGGTAAATATTATGAGTGTGAGCAAAGGGTCATAGGGCTTAAAAGGATAAGAAATTTAGATAGTTAAAAATCAGTGAGTTTATTGAGGAAAAATAGCAAGTATGTTTTCCCTGCTGCTTAGTTTTCTGAGTAAGAGGTTATTGGTCTGATTTCCTAATGATTATATCAGGTCAAAAAGAAATATGAATCTAATGAGTATAGTCTTTTGATCTGAAGTGAAGATTCTTTTCTATTGGGCTTTACCTGTGGTTTGGAGGGAGGTTGAGTAGGTTGCCTATAGTTAACTGAGGTATAAAGCATAACCAAACGCTAAAATTTGTCTAAATCATTAATTAGCTACTTTGGGGAAAACGGGCAAACATTAACTGACAGATATAAAAAAGAACAAGAGCAGCCATAAATTAGAAAGAAGAAAGTGAAAATGAATAATGGGCCTCTTTGGGTGCTTTGTGCCTATCTCTTTACTGGCCTTTAGAGAAGTGAGTGGAGTGCTCAAACCTTGGGGTAGGGGAATTTTTATAATAATTATTATAACAGTTATTACCACTGACATTTCTTTGTTGCTTAGTAAATAGGAACTATTTTGTTTGCTTTACATGTATTGTTTTGCTTATCTGTTGTGGCATAATAAAACGTTCTAAAACTTAGTTGTTAAAACACCAACAATCTTTATTTGAAGGAGACTGTTCCACATGTCATCTGTTAGCTGTAATGTACAAGGTGGCTTTAGCTGGGCTGAGCTGAGATGGCTGGAACCGCTTGTGGATAGTGGGGCATTTCCCTTCTTCCTTCCTTCCCTGTAGTCTATACATTTGCAAGAAGCATTCTAAGCGAACAAAGGGAGCATTCTAAAGGAACAAGCTCCAGAATGCTACTACTTATCAAACTTCTAAGTTCCTGATGCTTTCTAGTGTTTCAATGGCCAATGCAAGTTACATGACCCAGTAGAGACTTGGTGTGGGAGAAGACTGTAAAGAGCCTGGAAGGTTAGATTTCTTGAGGGCATCATTGTAACAGTACACCACATGGATTACTCATTTACATGTAATATCAGATAATTTTAGAATACTAATGGTAAGATTTGGGGTGGGAGAAGGGGCAAATACTTAGAAGTTCCTTTCTTAGGCCCAACAGATAAATTGCCTTTCATTGAATGAGTTAAATATTCTCATAATAGATGTTGCTTTTGGCTACTAGTTTAGTATTAAACAAAAATAATGCATATGAATGTTGATTATGGTTCATTATTTGAATATATAGATACTTGTATAATAAGTATGTTATCTTGAAATCACCTATAATACATTTCAGCTTTGGGCTAAGTTAAAAATAGTTAATAGATACAATTTAATAACTTCTTCATATTCTATCAATACGATTTGGGGTATCCTGTTGTCTCAGTAGAATTTGAGGTATGATTCTAGGCATTTTTGTGATGGTATGACTTAATGAGCAAAACAGCATTATGGAGGACAAACAGAAATATAAAAGAATATACAATGTAGTTGGAAGATGATAGATTACTTAGAGAAACAAGATGATAAGATTAATCTGTGGACATGTATAGGTAAGTTTTTCATATTCAGAATATGGTTGTTAAAGAGTAAAAGATGAAAGTAAATGAAAGAATGATATTGAAATTTCATACCATGATCTTTTTGGATTTTTATAGCATTGTTATACTTATGAGATAATATGCATTTCAGTGATAGAGGGAACCTTCTTAATGCCCAGGTACAGAAGTAGAGTCAGGTGAGTGGCTTGCTGAAGTTCTCATGGCTAGCTAAGTAGTGGTAGAACTGAGATACAACCCTGTTCTCATAATTTTTGAGAAATATTTAGATTTGGGTAATATTTATAATTAAGCATTTAGTTCTGTTTTTTGAGAGGACAGGAAGGCAAAGTCCTAGTGCCCTTTATTTACTAATCATTTGCTAGATGTTAAGCACTCCCTCGCCCTTCATTTTTTTCTCTTTCTCATTTTCTTCTTCATTCTCTCTTTCTCCCTTTCTCTTTTGGTCTTTCTCTTTCTCTTCTCCTTATCTTTTCCCTTTTTGACTGGGTCTTCTTTCCAGTTTAGGTTGCCCTTGAACTCTCTCCATCCTCTTGCCTCAGCTTCTTGAGTGCTGTGATTACAGATATATGCCACCTCACCTGAGCTTTTTCAGATTCGGGAATATTTGTATAGAGTTTACCAGTTGAATATCCCATTCAGATTTCAGATAGCCTGTACTGTGTTTTTTCATTTGCTTTCTCCCTTCCACTGCATACAGTATACACAACACACACA